TACCTTCCAAATTAATTTTCGTTTGATAAAACATGATAATAATTTATACATTTATAAAAAAATTGTACAAAATCATTTGTTCATTCATATGTAGTCTGATAAGGCCATATATGACCAGATTGACCCATAAAAATTTTTATATTAGAGGCTTCACCTCGGTCAACAATTACATTTGATCTGCGATATTTCCTACTTTTTTACTCTAGGTGAGTAATATACTACTGTGGTGTTAATTCTCAATTAATATTTTTTTTCCCGAGCAAGGGGTAATAAAAAGTACGTATTAAAGTACCTTTAACCCAATATTTGAAGAACAATAGGGTAATCATAATTGGATTGTACCAGTTTTTTCCTGATAAAAGTTAAAGCGAATAAAATTTGTAGGGAATTACAGCCAAAACAATTAACTAAATTGAACCTATGATCCCCTGGGGGGTCAATTGTAAGATGATATAGTGTATGATTTAATGGAATTGTCTATTTAGTTTAATAAAAGAAATTTGTCAAATAAAATTCTTTATATGAGACAAATTAACAATTAATTAAAGGTATAACCCCTAGGGAAAATGAAAATTTTTTTATTAAAAAATTTATTTAAATTTACTGTTCTGTTTAGAAAAAATTTTTAAAATTTAAAAGTTTTATCAAAGATAAATTTTAATCACAAACTTAAACACTAGTTTTAATTACAAAAAAGTAATTACAAAGGAAAAAAAATTCAAGTCTAAAAAATATATCACGTGAATTAAATTTTTTCTCTAATTGCTTTCACTTTCTAGTAACTGGTAAGACGAAAAATTTTCAAATAGTATGCTATTTACAATATTTAATATTTATACCCCTACGATCACGTCCATAAAATTCACAACAGCAAATAGCGTATGGTTATATAATTCTCGCGCATTATTTTAGCAAAGGCGATGCTTGTAATTTAGAACATGGTGATAAATTAATAAAAGTATGCTTGCCGCTCACCACCACCGAGTTACGCCACAGAACGAGCTGTTAATTTTAAAGTTAGCATGCTATGCCGCGCACAGTAAGAGAGCAATGAGTTCATGTAATTATTAAAGAAAGCACCGCGACTTCTGATCTTATATTATATTAGTCCTACCTTCGTTTTATTTTTTAATTATTTTTTGTCATCCGTTTGTAATTAGAAATTCATTCCAAGTTTTATTAAATGTCAAACTTTATTTTTTTTATAATTAATTATTAAGTTGGATTTTTTTTTCTATATATAAATCAGAATATTATTTTACATATTAATAATTTAAAAGTGGAAAATTTTTATCAGAAAATTTTAAATTAAAACAATTTTCATCAAAGATTATTATGATAATTTAAGCCGAATATTTTTTTTTGCTCCCATAGCAAAATATTGTTTTGCATATTTAACAAAAAATCCTTTTAAATTTATTTGCAACAAATTAAAATAAAATATAAATATCTTAGCAAACAATAAACTCTCTAATTAATTAATAAACTAAAAAATAACTCTAAAAAGGTTACAATTACAATAAACAAACATTAAAGATAATAAATGAAAACCTCGAAAGTTATAAAATTGCGTTTGTTTTAATTAAACCCACAGCATGCGGTTTGCTGTACATTAATTAACATCCTGGTATTAGTACATTAATAAACCATTATTTATTGACGTAAATACGAGAAAGATTTAATTAAAGGATAACTTACAAATCATCTTGTTGCCGTAATGGGAGCTAACAATGTAACCAGCAGCAGCTACAGACAATTTTCACACGAAAATTTATTTATTTTTTTCCGATTAATCATCATTGCCATCAAGTGTTCTCGAAAACTCAATAACTATTTAATTGATAGCTGGTCTTAATTTTCTCTGAGAGTAAATTAATTTTTTTATTACAGACCTTAAGTGAAATGTTCTTTTATCTCATAAAAATCGAGATCTCAACTTTTAGTAAATTTTTTAAATCGATTAATTGCTATTTATACATAAAAAAAGTGGAATTTTTCATATGTATTTTTTTTTTTAATTTTATCTGCCTTATGGAAAGCTGTGGAATTAATATTGTAGCTTAATATTAATTTAATTAATTTTTTTAACTGGCAGAGAAATTTTTCGCTCTTTGAGAAGCCATGTAACCGTCGGGAATACAGCTTTTAATTGGTTCTTTTTTTATGATTCACTTATTGTAACGAAAGAGGGCGTTCAATGCGCATAAATTTGTAAGAGCTTTAAAATTGAAGTGTAAATAAAATTAATAGCTCAAAATTTATTTTTTATTATGCTTTTAAAGTTATTAGTGAAAACTTGTTGTGTATTTAAACTTTGCTTCGATTAATTTAATTCAATAAAATTTTATTACTATTCAATAAAACGTTTATTTAGCTAATAAAGGGGAAGGGGAAGTAAACAAGTAGGTTAGGTTAAGATGGTTGAAAAATCTTTATACTATTTATTTATTGAGATATTTATTAAAAGATTTTACTGTGATAGTATATTTGAATATATTATAACTAATTGATAAATATTGATTTTTTTTTTGAGATTAGATTTTTTTTAATGATTTAATATTCGTATAAATGACAGCAAATAAAAGCGACGCTCGTGGCTATTTTAATAAACATAAATTAGTACTTAAGAAAATTTTATTAAATACTAATAAAATGTTATTTATATGAAATATAATTTTATTAATATTAACTTAGTTTTTTTTTTTTTTCAAGTCCAAATAAACTTTTTTATGATTATTAAATAAAATTGTCTCTCAGTGCACTTGGACTTACCAAACTATTTTTTGAAAGATTAGAAGCTCGAAAAAATAAGGCCAGCCAATCCGAATGCGTTGTCTGTTGTAATGAAAGCTCCTTATTTTTTTATCTCATCTGTAAGCTGTCGTAGGCAGTAAATCTTATAAAGTCTCGTCTTAAGATATAATATAACTTTACAGCTTACGATTGGTGTGTTGACGTGTGTGACAGGAACAAAAAATCCGCATGAGAAATAATCTAGAAGGAGATTTTACGCGGATGAATTTCAAATCGCGGTAAATCCAATCTCGTGCCTTGCTTGCTCCGATTAAAAAACCCTCACAAAACAGTTACGCATGTTTTCTTTACAATAGACCAAGACCCTTTTTTTACTTGACAAATATGCGCTACCAGAAGGAACCCCATGCGGCTATTTAATGTCACATCGCATGCGACGCAAAATGGTGGAAAATCGGACACGGATTAAAGTGATACCAATGGATAATAGTCACTAATCCCGATGTGACCCTTTCGATGAATATGTTATGTTACGTTTACAAAAAACATTAAACGATTAAACATTACACGGCTGACAAATTTATTTTAAATTCAAGAATCTCTGTCTCTTATTTTTCTTTTCATATTTTTATTTTCAAGCTTCTATTTATTTGTTTTTTCTATTTGGATCGAGGAATTTTTTGCACCGGTCTTTCCTTTGATCAATTATAATTATGGCTGGTACAAAAACTTGTTGACGGAAACACCAACAAGCATCCTCCTAATTTGGCATGATTCAGAGCTTGATGAGACATGTCACGGGAAATTTCAAGGCAATGACGTTAGTCGGTGGAGGAAAAATTTTGTACCCTGATAGCCAGCGCTTTCTCAGTAAGTGTTGACTTCCAACAGTTACGGTTAATTTATCCTTCAAGTTGGCGGTAATTCTTCACTCAACAACAGTTGTAAGCAAATTAACGGAAATCTACGGCCGCAACTTGAATACAAGTTAACAATCAAACTTGTTGTTAAATTTCCTTTCAACTTTACTACAATTTGACGGAAATACTTGTACAGCAAGTTTTGACGTCTATTTGCAGAGTAAGTTATAGGTAACTAATAGGTAATCGCTCGCTTTGCCAAGTCTTTCCGTCAAGTTTGCTTCAAATTGCGGACGTAGATTGACAGTAAGTTATAGGTAAGGTAGCTATCAGGGTACTTGCTTAAAGATTGAAGAGAAAATTTCCTTATCGATCATGTGTAGTGATGTAATATCCACGTTCGATAATAAGGACATTAGTTAAGCGAACGGGCGGTAGAACAGAGTTCCAGAGGTACAGTTGTTTCGAAGCGATACTGATATTACCAATCGTGGATTATTCAGAAATTCATGATGACCGAAAATACACAGTGCCCTGATAGCCACCTTACCTATAACTTACTGTGAATCTACGTCCGCAATTTGAAGCAAACTTAACGGAAAGACTTGGCAAAGCGAGCGATTACCTATTAGTTACCTATAACTTACTCTCCAAATAGACGTCAAAACTTGCTGTACAAGTATTTCCGTCAAATTGTAGTAAAGTTGAAAGGAAATTTAACAACAAGTTTGATTGTTAACTGGTATTCAAGTTGCGGCCGTAGATTTCCGTCAAATTGCTTACAACTGTTGTTGAGTGAAGAATAACCGCCAACTTGATGTATAAATTAACCGTAACGTAACTGCTGGAAGTCAACGCTTACTGAGAAAGCGCTGGCTATCAGGGAAACGAGAGCACAGTGCCGCACGTTTGCGCTATAAACGTGCAAGAAGTTTAGTACAATAAAACAAAAAAAAAGTTAAAATTTTCAATTAAAAAAAACTTTAAAAAAATTATGTAAAAAATGTAAATACTAATTTTATTTTTATGTTTGTATTATTCATGATCCACGAAACAAATCACTAAAAGTTACTGCTGGCTATCAGGGTGACTGCAGTATGGTATGAAAAAATAGGAAACAGATGAAAGGTTAAGAAAATGGGCATACGTGTCATATAATGTTTATATAATTTTTATTTTCGAGATTTTTTGTTAGAATCACATTTTTTGGTAGACTCTGATATTGAATGATACTCTAAATAAAAATTCAATTATTAATAAAAATGCAATCTTGATCAATTTTATAAATATAGTATGATGTTCTAGAATCAGAACATAGCGGATAGCTTTGTTACATGGATGAGTGACCATTTTATTCGTATTGTTACGACTCAATCTGACTTAGGATTAATGTTTGGAACGCAATCTAGCGAAGAAAATGTGAACACTATCAATTAGATTCATTTCTTTAGAAGTATTGATAACTTGTGGAATTAGATTAGTTGGAACATAGTCAGCATCAGTGTCATTTTTGTTGGAAATTGGAAGTGGTACAATAATGCTTTCCTTCTTGTTGATAATTGGAGAAGATGTTAAGATATCTGTTTCATTATTTTTTACTAGAAAATCTGTTATATCTGTTTCATTTTTTTTTATTACTGGAGAGGATGGGACGATATTTACTTCATTTTCTTCGATAACTGGAGAAGGTGGTACAAAATCAGTTGTATTTTTGGTAATTTCTGGAGAGGATGGGAAGATATCTGTTTTATTTTCATTGATAATTGGAGAAGTTATTACGATATGTGATTCATTTTTGTTAATTACTGGAGATTGTGAGATGGTAGCTGTTTCATTTTTGTCAATAACTGGAGAATTGACCGCCTCTATTCTTGACTCAAAGTTGGTTTTTAATGGAGTTTGTCCATTCTCCAATGCATTAAGACTATTGGTCAGATTACTACTTGATGTTGTGTCTGTTTCATTTTTTTCGACAACTGGAGACGACGTTACGACATCTGTTTTATTTTTCTTGTTTATTGGAAAGACCGGGTCGATATCTACTTCTGTTTCTTTGGTAAGCGGGGAAGCTGCTACAAAATCAGTTGTATTTTTGGTAATTTCTGGAGAGGATGGAAAGTTATCTGTTTTATTTTCATTGATAATTGGAGAAGTTATTACGATATGTGATTCATTTTTGTTAATTACTGGAGATTGTGAGATGGTAGCTGTTTCATTTTTGTCAATAACTGGAGAATTGACCGCCTCTATTCTTGACTCAAAGTTGGTTTTTAATAGAGTTTGTCCACCCTCCAATTCACTTGAACTACTGGTTAAATTACTACATGATTTACAAAATCTTTCTAGTTCATCTTCAATTTTTTTTTTCAGTTTCTCTAGTTCTTCAACATATACATTTTTATTTTCTTCTAATGCTAACTTTGATTTTTCTCTTTCTTCTCCGATGATTGTTTTCGTACTCTGTACTTGTTTTGATATTTCCTCAGTAACATTACCTCTGATTTCTCCTAAATATTCTGCTTTGCGTTCTGAAAGGTCTGATTCAATTTCAGCTATAAACTCTCCTTTCACCCTACTCTTCTCTCCTTCGAGGCTTGTTTTTACACTCTCCATTTGCACTGCCGTTTCAGCAATAACAGCTTCTTTGATTTCCTTCATAAATTCCGTTTTGTTTTGCGAAAACTCCGATTTCATATCAGCAATAAGCTCTTCTTTAATTCTTCTAATTTCTTCTTTGAAGTTGCGTTCATCAGTTACCTCATTCCACTTTTCCTCAACTTCCAGCTTTTTCTTCTCCAATTCACTTTTTAGCAGATCATTACGTGTTTCTAGATCTCTTATTTTTCCTTGAAGCTCTTCTTCCAACTGTCTTTTAAGTGCATCTTTCTCGTCGTTTAAATCTTCAACCAGTTTATCCTTTTTAGAATCCAATGATTTCTGCAGAGCAACATCTTCTAGATACGCTTTCTCCTTTAGACTGTTCTCCAGATAAAGCACAACGCTAGTGTTCGTCTGCTCAATAACAGACTCCACTGTTTTCAATGAATCGTTCGTCTTCTGGTAAAACTCAGCAATAACAGACTCAGATTGGGATTTTAATTCTCTCTCCGTTCTCTCTTTCGCAGCAACGCTCGCATCATTTATCAATTGAGCTGACGACAAAATAGTAGTACCAGCTGATTGTAGAATCTTCTGAGTATCTTCAAATGTCTTATTGACATTCTTCTCAAGCTCTTTATTCGCATTTTCAAGCGTACGAGCAACTAATTGTTCTCCAGCAGTAGTTTTGTTTTCCAAGATCTCCACCCACTCTTTGGCTTTGTCGAAAGACGACTCTAGCGTTTTGTTTGTGTCTGTAATGAATTGGATGCTTCCTAATGTTGCTTTTTCGAGTGATTCTACATATTCCGTTGTTTTGTTCTTCAACTCTGCATCAAAAGACAATTGTAACTTTTGAGATGTAGAGTTGAGTTTTTTCACTGATTCGTCGGTTGTGTTTAAAAGAATTCCAATAGCTCCTAAAGTAGCTTCTTCGAGTGATTCAAAGTTTTTATTTATATTCTTAATTATCTCTGCATCAAAAGACGATTTTAATTCTCGAGATGTTGAATTGAATTTTTTTATTGAGTCGGTAGTTGTGTTTATAACAAATTCAATTCCTCCCGTAAATGCGTCTTCAAGTACTCCTAAATATTCTTCTTTTTTACTCTTTAACTCTGATTTTGCGGATTCCAACGATTGATTAATGCTCTGCTGTTCTTGCTCTTTAGTTCTGCCTGTACTGTTCCCCCAACAGTCCTAAAATTATTCAAATAAAATCTTGAATCAAAATAATCATATTTACTTGTAAAAAAATTTTCAGATATGGTTACATATTGGTGTTTTATCGATGTATCAATCAGTTATAAAAAATTTTTAATTTTAGTATTTTGTTATACGCTAACTAATTATTGACATAACAAAAAAATTTTTTATTCAATCTTCGTACATTATTACACTAAATAATTAATCTGCAAGTACAAAGTGACTTTTGGGTTGTTTTCAATCTCTAAGATTTTTGCTCTTAAATTTAAGCTTTTACAGAATCAAACAATATTGTCAACCCGACTCTTATAAGGTAGTACTACCGTAACCACAAGAGTCAAATCCCAAAACTTAACCTTATTTGATTAACGTCGTAGATTTCCCTATACTAAATCACGTTGGAGAAAGAGAAACAGAGATAAATTTTGAATGTTTTTTATTAACAAATATTCTCCTATTCTCTGAAACCATACTGATTGATATTAACTATATTTTAGATGTTATTTTCTCTCATTGTAATAATTTTCATAAGAATCTGAACGTTCAGTTTTATGAAATAAAATAAAGTCTGTGATTTTCCATAAGGATCAATGGTAAAGGCAAAAATATTTAAATATTAATATCTTTTTTTCAGTTCTCTGTAGGCCTCCAAAAATTTAACTGGTTAATTAAGATATTATTATGTACCTATAAGCCAAGTTTCATCAAATTCTGAATAGAAATTCTAAAACCGGTAGTACTACCTTAATACAGGTGTATCTTCTATTTTTACTTACATATTGTATAATAATTGAAAGCTAATGAGCGGTAGATTTTATTTCTATGCTCACTTACGTTTTGGATGACTATAATATTTTATATTTGAATTTCCACAATACCCGTAGTTATAAACACAAATTCACTACCTTAGATTATAAACTGAACCTACACGGAGAGAAAAATATGGAAATCATTCCTATAATTTTAATGAAATATTTTCCTATACCATTATAGGAGCGATTACTTAATTAAATTATGGGAATTATACCCATAATTTTTGGGAAACGTTACTATAATTATGGGAATGGTTCCTATAATTATAGGAACGATACCTATAATTAAAACTGTAATATCGGCATGATTCCCATAATATATTGAAGCTATTCCATTATTGTATAGGAACGTTTCCAATAAATTATGGGTATGGTTCCCATAATGAGTATAGGATTAATGCCTATAATGATAATTTTATTATAGGATCCATTCCCATAATTGTTGGAAAGATTCCTATAAATTTCTCTTCGTGTAGAAGTTCTTACTGTGATTGAAAAACAAAATAATAATGCAGTAACAGGTTCATTTAATTTATTGATAACTATTTTTAATATTACAATTATGTATTAAAGTTTTGTAAAGATGTATCTACAATAATTATCATTCAGCACATTGCATTGAAAGAAGAAATTTGTTCATTAGTGATGAGCTTGAGCTCTGTTTCACAAATCATAAACTGTACTATTAATTCTCTGTACAAATTGATCGATCATATTTATAGAGCTTTGTATGCGCCTTAGTTTAGCGTTTTGGTTCTGGACTTCACTAATAATTATATTATATTTTTAAAGTGATTGCTTCATTATTAAGAAAATAAACTTTTTTCTATTATTATGTGCGTCATTCCCATAATATTATAGGAACCATTCCTATAATATTATAGGAACCATTCCCATAATATATTGAAGCTATTCCGTTATTGTATAGGAACGTTTCCAATAAATTATGGGTATGGTTCCCGTAATGAGTATAGGATTAATGCCTATAATGATAATTTTATTATAGGATCCATTCCCATAATTGTTGGAAAGATTCCTATAAATTTCTCTCCGTGTAAGTGCATAACATTGGACTCTGATCATACAAATTAATTCTTAAATATTTATATTTTACTAGCTGATATCTGGCTTTATATGCATGTCGAATTATCATATAAAATCATATATGTGTATAATTAAAAATTATATTTTGATAGTGTTGTACCCACTGGATACATAAGACGATATCAGGAAGTTTTTTCACTGCTAATGCTTATTTCGTTAATTTATTATTGAAAGTACTTTGAAAAGTCGAACACTTATTGAGTATATAATCAGAACATTTAAATCATCGTAAGCTTTTTAAAACTTAGTTTAGTTTTAAGATTTAAAATAGAAACCAAATGAATATAAAAAACCTTACCTGAGAACTGCAGATGAGGAAGAATATTAGGCAAAATATGAAATGCTTCATAGTGACTGATCCTTCCAATTTTTATTGATGTAAAGATTTTCAATGAAAATATATCGTTCTTTATACTGCGCGATTAAATATAATTAAACATCATTCGCGTAAAAATTATCTATAAAAAATAAAGACATTAAGATATCATTTGTCACGTCGATTGATAAGCAATGTACTTAAAAAAAGTACTAACTAGCAGTAGCCTAAGGGGATACATCAGTTCCACGTGCGTATGTGATTTAAAATAATGTCTATCGTTATTTATTCGAAAATTTTTGAATTATAAGAAAAATAATTATTATGGCATTTCAAGAAAGTTAATAAAAAAACAACACATTTTTTTTTTGTTATCATTTTACTATAGTTTATTAAACATTAATAAAACATGAAGATTAATACATGTGTTTGTATAACATCAATACCGTTTTTGATCAATTACTATCGTATCTATTTAGTAGTCAATAATAAAAAAAATAAAAATCAGTTAGTCTATAAAAAGCAGAAAAACAAGAAATGGTTTAATGTTCAGTCCAATTCTTCAATTTCTCGAATTTGTAATAATTAATTCTTAATTAACTCAATGTTATAATGAGCTTTTCAATCTGTTTTTGTAATATACAATGAATAATTAATGCTGTTTTTTCGATGATTAACATGAAATTGTCGAAAAAATGAAAGTATTGGGCGCTTACGGCATGCACATTTGGATTTACTAAACTTTTAAACTTGTACTATAAGCCACTTCCATCTCAATTGGTTCCGTCATCTTCTGAGTTAACTTTGTCGCCATTTTCATCGTTATTTAATACGTCATTTTTATTTTTATTGGTTCCTATATCTTCTAAGTTACCTTCGTCGTTATTTTCATCGTTATTTGATGCGTTATTTTCATTTTCATTGGTTCCTTTATCTCCTGAGTTATCCTCGCCTCCAGTTTTCTTGGATTTTGATGAGCCACTTCCATTTCCATTGGTTCCTTTATTTGATGTGTTATCCTCGCCGCCAGTTTTCTTGGACTTTGATGAGCCACTTCCATTTCCATTGGTTCCTTTATTTGATGTGTTATCCTCGCCGCCAGTTTTCTTGGACTTTGATGAGCCACTTCCATTTCCATTGGTTCCTTTATTTGATGAGTCACCTCCGTCGCCTGTTTCTTCATTGTTCCCTGAGTTTTTAGGTCAAGTGGTGGTTTCACTAAATTTTTGCGATTTGATAATTTTACTTCGATTTCAGCCAAAAAGTCCTTTTTCATATTTTCTAATTTTTCCTTTATTTTGTCAACTGCTTGATTCCCAATCATATCATACTTCTCAATTAGATCTGTTTCATTTAATTTTAAATCCTGAATTGTTTTTTCTTTTATCGTATTCGCTTCACGCTCTAAACCGCTGTACTTCACATCGATATAGCATTATTAGCGAATGAAATTAGTTTTTTTAATTCCTGAGACGTTGAACTAAATTTTTTCAACACTTCATTGGCTCTCTTCTCAATATCTATAAACTTTGGATACGCCTTTTTGAGTCTATTATATTTGTTTACTACATTGTTTTCAATAGGTTTCAACTTCTCTAAAGCTTCTTTAGTTTTTTTTTCTTATTAGTATCAACTTTCCTTCACTTATTGACTCAGGTTCTTGTTTTGACTCTTCAGCTGTGTCTTTAATGAGTTGATAGCCTTTATGGACTAGCTCGTTAAATAATTTATAATGATTAACCTTTGCCGAATAGTTCTAAAATTACCAAAAATATCAAAATATTAATATTTTGCAGTGAACCAATCTTTATTTAAAAGTTAGTTTAAAACAAAATTATTCAAAGCATAAATTTTGGAAATTAAAATAAATTCTAAAAATTTTCTAAATTTGAACAAATGCATCTTGTGAAACTACAACTATCAAATTAAAAAGTATTTTTTGAATGCTTAAAAATAATACAAAAAGCAACTTACTTAAGAAAACACGGCAGCAAAAATCAAACAGAGCATTAAAAACTTCATGGTTAGAAGTTAGTTTCTTACATTAAACTTCTTAGATGACAAAAATGAATTCACTGGTTCAATATTCTGGAAATTCTTGTTTTTATACTTCATGATGAATTATACACGCAGAAAAAAATTTTGTTAAGATAACCTAAGATATGTTGTGGTAACAAATGAATTTGTCAACATAGGGATAACAAATCATATGTTAAAATAACAAAATTTAGGTTATAACAAGTTATTGATATGTTATAACAACAAATTAGTTTTGTTACTATAGCAAAATCTTTTAGTTGATTCGACAAAATACTTTAGTTGGTATAACAAATTTTTTTGTTGAAACAGCAAAATTATTCTATTAAAATAACCAAGAGAATTTGTTGGATTAACAAAGACAATTAACAGAGTAAATTTTATATGTATACATTTAAAAAGCAACAAATTAGTTTTGTTATTGCAATAAAACCACTTTGTTACAGCAGCAAAATCATTTGGTAACAGCAACAAAATGATTTTGTTGCAGCAACAAAGTCATTTTGTGATAGCAACAAAATAATTTTGTTAATAGAGCAACAAATTTATTTTGTGATTTAACAAACTGGTTTGTTAGTACAACTTGAAACTTTTTGTTAATGCAACTAATGGATTTGTTGCTATAAACATACTCATTTGTTACCAGGACATATTTTTCAGTTATCCCGTCTTTTGTTATTTCAACAAAATCGTTTTATGCGTGTACCATGTCCTAATTTATAGTCAAGTTGCTTACAGCGAAAGAATGCATTAGATGACGAAACTTTGAATTAATTGATAATAAATAGACTTAAAAAAGTAGGACTCAGTAGTAGCCTAAAGGAAAAAATCATTTTTGGGTTTGTAGACTGGAAGAGTATGATCTGAAAGGCATATCCTAAAATACGGTAATTGAAGCCAATTTTAATCTTATGTTTCATCAAATTTGATTATAAATTTGCTTATAATAAATGAAAACTTCCTCAAATTTCTATAAAAATAACCACAAACTATGTACTTGGAGAATTTTTGCACGACTCATGATTCGAAGCATCAGAAAGTGCTTTACGATCGAAAAATTTTTTTCGCCTCATTTCGGCAACTATTTTTATTATTATAGTCTTGTTAGTTCACGGAATCAATATATTTTGCATACTATTATCAAGATAATTTAATGAAGATTAATTTGACGCTTTTAAAAAATTTATTAAGTACAATAAAAACGGAAAAATTGCAGATCACCGAATGCGAACGGCTAAGTAATTCAGTGTCGTTTATAAAATAAAACAAAAACCAGAAGACTGTATATATATATNNNNTATATATATATATATATATATATATATATATTATGTACATTTAACCCACTAAAAGCGCTCGCGCATTATCGTGCTACTTTAGCTGTTTTATATATTTTTTTTCACATTCTTTAATTTTTTAATATTTCATAGTTAAATGAGCATTATGAGTCATGCACTTTTAGATTTTGCAAACCTTTTTTTTTTAAAACTAGCTTAAAGATTATCAGGTCAAAGGTTATTACATTAATTATATTCTAAGCACCTGTAAATGATGGAACAATAAAATACTTTGAGCAGTAGCCAGAAGGCAATAATCAATGTCTTTGTTCGTAGATATGAATTACGCCAATGGCTGATCGAATTACTTTTAATTAATAATGGTGATTTATATAATAAAAATAAATGAATCACAATATATTTTAGAGCTAATAATTTCAATACATTTTATTTAGAACAAAAAAAAGTTTCATTACATGCTTACATAATTTATAAATAGGTGAAAAAATTCATTGTAATGGAAAAAAATATTAATTAATTGATTTAATTTATTAGACAATAAGCTTAATGTATTAGTCAGGTGGAATAATTCACCTCATTAAAAATTATCTACTCTCAAGTTGTGCTAGTTTCGTGGAAACCAATATCGAGATTAGTAAACTAAAGCTACACTAATTGGCACAACTATAATAACAATAGTTGAATAATGTTTTAGGTTGTAGCTGCAGGGGACCATTAATTCCTTTGTTCGTTGACACGAATCACAGTAATGGTTGATCGACTTTGTAATAAATGTTTTAAATATGCAGATAAAATAAGAAGCTTGATAACAAATGGGAAGGTTCGTTGAAATTGGTTTCCTCACAAACAATCAGCTTTGAGAGTGGATCAAGATTTCATTAAACTCCGACACCTGAAAATTGATGTTAGTATTACGAAAAGGGGTAAAATTGAAGATAAAGTCAAGGAATGATTTCTGATTGTTAATTACTTATAAATTTCTGTTACTGTCTATACGCGAGAATTTTCTACCTAAATGAACCGAACTTAGATAAGAAGTCTTTGATTATATCTCTTAGAATGGGAATAGTGAACTTACTGTCATTGTAACTGATGGCTTGCTTGCCCAATTTTATCAACTGTTCGTCCGTTAATGAGCCAGCATCGATAAGATCGACGTCAAGCTGAGGGAAACGCTCAACTTTTGAAAGAGTTTCCTTCTTCTCTTCAGTTACTTCAGAAACGATAGCGGTCGTATTATTAATTAACCTATCGAAAAACTCGGAACCAGGTTTGGGAATGATGTCTACAGTTTCATTGGATTTAGTTGTCAAATTATCAGAAGCAGCTTTGGAACTATCCTCATCACCGAACCTATCCTTTAGTTTAGCAGCTTCGGTAGTGCTAACAAGTGACGATTCATTAGAAGATTGAATTAAGATTCTCTCAGTGATTTTGCGATCAACTTCGACAGTCTTCTCGGTAGCGTTCTTTGCTGGTTCTACATTGTCAACTGAATCAACCTTAGTAGTTTTGGAAGTTTTTGCCTCAGTAATACTTTCAATTTTTGCGGTCTCTGTGGTGCTAGTTGCAGTTGTACTGTTTTTTAGGTCAATTTGACTGTGTTCAGAAGTCGTAGAAGTGTTATCATCACTTGATAGAGTTATGTTTTTGGAGCTATTTAAAGTAGTGGCGTTTTTATTTTCAGCAGAGTCATCA